TCTTATGATCATCTGGTCAGAACATATCTTGACACTCCTGCTGCCATTCTAATGCTTTCTCCACAATAGGAAAATTATGCTTTTCTCCCATTCTCTTTCTTCATGTGTCTTCTCAGCTGCAGATACAGCAACTAAGATGACTCTGGTAGTTCTGTGATTCTGAGTACCTGGTTTTGCAGCAGTTACCCTTTGAGGGGCTTTGTTTGGATGATTTAGTTTGGGTTTCTGACCTAATGCTTCTTCAGGCATTTGCCGTGTGTGTTAAGGTAGTTGCTGTAGCTTGGCAAGCTGTTTGCTGATGGTGGGTGGTAGAGTCAGCCCTTTTGGGATCAGTCTGAGCAGTAGAGAGAGACAGGGTGTCATTTACTTGGATGAAAACTGGGCATTGTTTTCAGACAGAATGGCCTGTGGTTATTTCCGGGTCACAGAGTCAGCCTATCTTCAGAATATGGCCAGTCACTTTGCTACGTCCTGTAGTGGTGCCAAGAAGACTGGTCCCAGTTTTCACACTGGTTAAGTTGAGGAGAATGCCAGTGCCATTTTCTCTCTTTCTGCCCTTTGTGAAGGTAGTATAAGTTGCTTTCTGGTTTGACTGCCACTGGTTTCCCAGGGTGGCTTGGTTTTCAAGAGCCTATATGTGGGATCTGCAGAGCCTCGAGTGGAAGTTGCTGCTTGTTTAGACAACAGTGGTATTTGCAAAAGGAAAGTGCCTTGGAGGAGAAGGTGCCATGAAGAGCAGTTCCTGTCTACCTCATGCCAAAAACTGAGGCTTGCTTTAAGTGATGCTCCCATGCCATCAAACTTCTAGTGGCAGTCTGGTTCCACTCCTCTTCATCCTACACGTGGCTGTGCTCACACATGTGTGTACATCAGGAAGAAGTGGATGGGCCTTAGCAGCATGTGGAACTGGTGTGCTTATTTTTCTTTTCCCCGAGAAAGGTGAAAGAGTTTTAAAAAATGGATTGTACTGCTCAACTTTAAATCCTTACAAATTGCTCCTTATTTAGAGTTTAATAGTTTTGTAAATGTAAACTCAGGAAAATATTTACTTCTCAAGCATGAATATCATTCTGCTTTCTCACATCACTGAAAGTGTATTATTCTTTTCAGTCCATTGAATTTCAGGGATCACTCAAGTTAAAAGTCAGTACAATTTCCAGTGTCAGAAGATGTAAGGTTTTGTGCTTATGGCTGGGATCCTTTCTCACTGCTTTTCCTGTGTGATATTAGCTGAAAATTTTTCAGATTTATACTCAGAAGTATTCAGGTGCTTTCCCAAAGGTAAAAGGTAATTAGATCAAGGAATGGTCTTTAAAAACTGGCACAGACCCAATTCTGGTACTCTTATTTACATAGATAAGGGCTGTGTAACAACTGTGGGAGGATCAGCCACAAGCCTCAAACAGATGAAACTCATAGACTTAAATCAAAAAGAACATTAATTTTGTTTCTTTGAACTTGGAACTTCTACCTTTTATTGCTGTGTGATTAAAACACTGGAGTGGAATTCTTACTTCCTTTTGGCTGCCTTTTTTATGGCTACAAGTCCCAGTCTGAGTATCTTGCACTTTTCGTCAGCATTGCACATACTCACTGCTCCTTGCTTCACTTTGGTGACTCTGTTGACTGTAGTGGAAGTCTGTTCAATTAAGCAGTGCAGGTTTGGATACAGGAGTAGCACTCTCTTCTGCTAGAGATAAATCTTAGTGGTGCTGTATTGTTTTTAAAATCTGTGTGGTTCTCGTTACATACCCCTGTGCACATTCAGAGACCAGCATATATAGCCCTAATTGCATAACTATTAAAATAGTGATAAATTTGGAGGTCAGTGGAAAAACTCATGGAGTTCCACTGGGCCAGAAGAGTTAGGAGCCACCGCTTGATGTGCTGAGAAACAGATGTGGTTGTCTGCCTACCAAAAAGTTGCCCTCTGTCTCATTCCCCAGAGGTATACTAATTTAACATAAAGTTGCTAAAAAAAAACCACAGAAGTGAAGTGGCAGTTTTGCTGTGGTAGGGTTTTAATATCCATACTGTAGCATGTTGAGTGGGTTTTCTGTTGAATTCTTTCCATTTAGGAAAAGAAAGCTTCCTGAAAGTTTGTGACAGAGATAATAGATCTCAGTATTTAAAAACAGGCCTTTCCATCAATCCAGGCATATGCATACTGGAAGTATTAACAAATCCTTTAAAAACAAATAAGCTTCTTGTCCATTTGGCTACTCAGGAGTAAACAAAAAATTATCCCTTTTCAACCTCAGTTGCTTCCCTCTTACTTCTTTCCTGGAGGCTGAGAACACAGAATGCTTACAGCATCTCCTAAACCTTTCCACATTGAGCTTTACTAAATCGGAGCAGAATGAGGTTTTAGAGTCAGAGACCTGAGCCCTTGAGTCAGCCAGCCTTGTTGAAGTGACACTACCTGCATTACTATGTAATGCAGGGTAACTTTTGGAGAAAGAGGTGATTCCTGATGATAGATATGGCCAGATCCAGTCAAAGCTTTTGTTAGGCGCAAGCTAGAGCCCTGAATTACCACTGAGGAGCTAGTCTGTAAGAAACATCAGGAAGGTGACATTCGCTGCGTCTTCTGTAGGTGATTTCCCCTTTGACATTGGCGCGTGTACCTAGAGAGCATCTCTTGTTCTGATATTCTGTACAGTCAAAGCATGAACCACTTCAGGTTACTCATCTGAAGTAGTGCATGGTGTCTCCTTCAGGCTATGGGATTGTGGTGCAGACTGGGCCATCCAGTGAGTGTGCTTGTGCTGTGAGCCCATCTCACGAGTTGATCTTGCAGAGGAGCTTCAGAAATGTTCGTCTGTTGTTCCACTTTCTTTCCCCAGTCTACATGTTTGCACTTGGTTCAAGTCCTAGGAGCTCTTAGGCAGTGATGAAATCTCAAGCACAGACAGATATTCTGAGGAAGTGAAGTGGAACGACAAGTGGCATCCTCATCCAGACACTGAGGTGGGACTTCTCCTTGGACTCTACCATCAACCCTACTCACTAAATAGGGAAGGCAGAAAACAGCATTAGGAATTGCCTGGTGTGCTGTCATGGCAGAAGAGAACTTGACTCTTGCAGACCGCAAGGAGTGTTTCCAGTCCTCCAGCACTCCAGGTTTCATGGTTGCTGGGCTAGAAAACGTCAAAAGCTTTTTCCAACTGCCAGTTACGTAACTGCTGTTCCAGGCTGCTCTAGGTGCAGAGCAGTGCCCTCTTCCAGCAGTACGCTGGTTGTTCAGGCCTGGAGATGTTGAAGAGCTGTTTGGCTGTTTTGTGCCTTTGACCACATAGCAAAGGCGTACATGATGCTGCAGACCAGATTCCTCTTTCTGTGACACTAAATCATTAGCAGCATTCGGGAACGTGTAAAAATTGTTGGAAGTTGCCTTGACTATCTTGTCACTCACGTTTAAGTGTTGCAGTATTTTCTTTATATTTTAGCTAGGAAAAAATGTAATTTTGGTTTAATGGGTTAATATCCCATTCACTAGGGTTAAAAAAAAGTTTTATGTCAGATCTAAAAGACATCTAAAAGACAGATGTTACAGCCTTACTCTTCCCTTATATGCATCGAAGGAGAGACTTGTATTAAAGCATGGAGCTAGGTTTGGCAATGTCAAAAATGGTCAAAACTCCCTGAAAGGAACAGAAACTGCCATTTTTTCTAGTCATGGGTAAGTAGATGAAAATGTTATGGGAGATGTCAACTTCGTAATATCTTTTCCATCTCTTGGTAACCAGTGTTCTGTTTAAAATAAGGACAAATTAGGAAGCTGAGCTGCAAATGGAAGTTACTGCAGAAACACAAGATACTTACAGAAATGGGATGTTGGTGGTTTTTTTGAGAGAGAATTTCTCATTTTCTCAGTGATGTGCTAAACCCAGATGGTGCTGTTTTACTTTCCTTGAATCACATTGGATTTGGCTGGCTGTCAAAATCAAACCTAACCTCTTCTTTTTCACTGGACTTCAGATGTGCTAGAAGTCCCCAGAGTCTGCAAGCACTCAGGTCTCGAGCATGGAGAAGTTGCTTGCTTAGGCACAACGGTGTGGTTTCAAGACAGAGTTTAAGCCTCAATTCCATATTCCTTGTTTTTGTGCAGTAGTATTAGATTCATCATGGCTTCTAAAAACCAAGCAATGGCTGTAAACAGTATTCTCTTTTAAAAGTTCACAGCTTGGTAATATTCTCCACTAAACAGTAAAATCCAAAATATAGTATTGATAATTAAGGTGTCAGGTGCTCATGGAGCTCCCGATGTGATTTAGTTTCCCTTGGACTGCCTGAACTACCAATGCATTTTGCTAATTATAGATTTTCCTGCTGATGAACAGAATCTGAATTAACATGGGAAGCACTAATGTTACCCTTTCACTATTATTGTTGTACAAGAAGCCGTGGCGGATGCTGGCAGTTAGCTACACAAACATTAGTATTAACGATTGGCCATTTGGAATTGGTGACAAACTGCCGCCCACTGGAATCCTGAGCCTGAAACCAATCAGGAAGTTAATGAGGAGAGAAATTACCACTGCAGCTTCTCCTTAATTATATTCACGGTAGGCAGGAAGGGAGTGTTGGGGGTGGTTCTCAACTCATCTAAGGTTAGGAAGGTCAGAGACCCTTTTACTTGGTTTTTGTATCTACTGCACATTGCAATGTTGCAACCGTTCCTAGCACTGTATTAGTTTTAAGTTCTGTAATATTTGGCCTCAGCCTCGGACTGCCCGAGCCAGGGCCTTATGTCTTTAGGCAGGTTACTAACTCCTGAGTGAAGGGGATACAGTTCCAGAACCGAGATTGTTCCCCCACATCATTACTCCCCCTGTGTTTGCCTTGGCGGGAGGAGGGAGGTCTCCTCATCATGCAGTGGGGAGACACGTCCTCGCCCCTCTTCCCAGAGCGGGGAGATAGGTGTGGGTCTCCACAGGTCGGGGCCGTGGTGGGGTGTCTCAGGCACTGTTTTTTCTCTCTCCTCCCCTCGCTTGCAGTGTTTTCGCCGCCCAGCAGCCAGGACTCGGGCCTGGGGTGCCTGTCCAGCAGCGAGAGCACCAAGGGGGACCTGGAGTGCGAGCCCCCCGCGCAGCCCGGCAACTTCGCGGTGAGCCCCGTCCAGGAGGGCGGCGAGTAGTCGCGTTGCGGCGGCCCTCGCCCGGGGCAGGGCGGTGCAGCAGCAGCAGCGTTCTCGGTTTGCTTGTTCTGCTTAGGGGTTGTGGGGGGAGGGCGTGGGGGCGTTTGGTTTCTTCTTTCCAGGTGCGGGGCGGGATGCCAGCTTCCCCGGGTGCGGCCGTGGGGCGCTCCCCGCCGCCGTCCGGGCCGGCTGGCGCATCGGTGGCCGGGAAGCAGCGCGGAGCCTCCACCGCAGGCCTGCGGCGCCGTCGGGGCAAAGCCGGAGAGAGCGTCGCCGAAATGCGTGCAGGGGCTCGAGGTAGAAGGAGCCAAGATAACCGGGTGTCCTGTGCCGGCCCCCCCTGGGAAACATCATGCCGTTATGTATTTCTAATGGTTCCTTACAGGCTGCTGCTCGGTCCGGGAGTTTTCTTCTCATGTTGCCAAATTAACATATTTTGCATACTACAGTTGAGTGCCTTGCCTTAGATTGCAATCTAAACTGCGAGTAAATAAGACCCTTAAAAGTTGCCACGGATTTTGGTGTTTGTTATTTTGTTAAAAATGGCTTATGGTGGTGTTTTATTGTGTTACCAAAGCCACTCCTAAATGAAACTAGTCTAGAAAAGTTCATTGTTCTCTGTAGTTGCAGCTGTACCTGAAATAAAAATGTTATTGATGACTGAATTTTCTTGTGTGTATATTTGGCGAGCTGTATTAGAACAGAAAAAAAAAAAGAAATTACTTGTATTTTCTTCGCTCTGTGCTTTGAAAACATCTATTTGATTTCACCCCCATCTGTTGTAATCAATAACCTGACCATCTTGTTTTTTATTAAATGCACTTACTCTTAATTTCATCCACCAGTGGTTTTAGAGAGAATAATGTGGAGTTACCTATATAGGTTTGACATTATAAATCACTTCTTGAGGCTGAATCGTATAGCGGTATCGATTGATCCTGATATATCACAGAAATTTACTGTCACTTCTGTTTTCAATTAAAGATACAATCAGTCAGATAATGACTTAATTGGATTTTACAGAAGATTGAGTTTTATTGCCCAGTGCTTTACGAGTTTAGTTAAGGAAGATCATTTTATCACACTTGTCAGCCTGCTCCCGCGGCTCCGTGCCCTTCTGCCGCCGCCGTGCCGGGGCCTGGCTTCCCGGAGGGCACGGCGGGCGGGACCGCGACGGAGGCTGTGCCACCCCCCTTTTCCTGTCAGTCCTCGGGCCTTACGAAAATACAGTTTCTTAATTTTTTGGAAACGCTTCACGACTCCCAGCCCCTCTCCCCCATCCTTCCCGAGCGCAAGGAATCCTCTGGGGGATTACAGCTGCGGCAGGGACCTGCCTGCTCGGGCTGTGTCGCAGCCGCCCCGGGCGATGCTCCCGGCCCGGGCTTGGTGCGGGGCACCGCGCTCGGTGTGCCCTCCGGGAGCTGGGACCGAGAGGCTGCCTCGCTGCCCCGGGGGAGCCGGGCGCGCCAGGCAGGATCCGCCGCCCTGGGCCGAGCTCGAGGCTGCGTGTCCCTCGGGAAGGCTCGTGCTGGTGGAGGCACAGGAGCCACCGTCGCTGGCGGCCTGGGTCCAGTCTGGCTGCCGGGAGCAGTCCTTGGGACAAACGAGTCGGAGTTTGCCCCGCGGTGGCACACAGGGAAAGGGGGAGTGGGACAATAAAGCGATGTGCTTTATATAGAGAAGTGTGGGACCTCGTTGGTGGCCGTGGCGGTGGGAATAAGTTGTGGGGAGAACAACCAGCGTCCTTAAGAAGAAGGGAGAAATCCTATCTGGAGCGCCAGGTTTTGGGGAATGCACATTCAGCATTGAGGGAACTTGGGAGGAAAAGATCGCCGGGACATGCCGCGTGCCACGCCCCGCCAGGAGCGGGGAGATGCGGGGTGATCCCGGCAAGCCTGGGCCCCCTCCTGCGTCAAGGCAGCAGCTCCAGCGACCGGGTGACAGATGCCCGGCGCTGACACGTCGCCCTGGCATGTCCGTGGGATCTCTCTATTTATCCAGAGCGGGACATTCAGCCCTTTTGACCTCTGAGGCTCCTCCGAGCAGGGTTGATGAGGGTGTGCAGGGAACTCTGAGGGTTTTCACGTTCTTTTTTCACGGTTTTGGGCCGTTTTGGTTGGTTGGTTGTCTGTCGGTTTTTTGTTGATGCTGTTGGGTTTTGGGGTTTTTGTTTGGGTTGGCTTTTGGGGTTTTTTTGAGTTGGCTTTCCAGTGAGTTTTTTGTTCGGTTGCTCTGGGGGGGTTGTCTTTTTTTTTTTTTTTTCCGGGGGGGGTAGTTTGGGATTTTTTGTTGGTTTTTTGTTTGGTGGGTTTTGGGGTTTGGTTTTGCTTTTTTTTTTCCTTTTTTTTTTTCTTTTTTTTTTTTCCGTTTTTTTTTTCTTTTTCACTCTTTCCAAGTATGTTTCCCGAGCTGTTTGGTAATCGGTGACCTTTATTAATGCTATTCCTCTCAAAATGCCCGTTCCTCGCCGCTCACCGGGCAGCTTTGATTGCTAGTTAGCGTAACCCGGTGTGGAATTCACATTTTCCTCGAAGTCTTCCGTGAAAGTTTCTCCCCAGTCCAGCGCGACGCCCACCAGCACGGCTTGTATAGTGCTCCTCTTCCTCCTTACTGTTTGACAGTACAGACGGTCAGAAACACCCAGAGTCATTCTCCGAGTGGGGAATCGTGGATAGTTTAATCCTCCGTCCTTTCCCCTGTAACGCGGGCAATGCCTAAAAGCAGTCTGGGCGAGGTGTAACGAATCCGGCCGTTCGCGCTCGCACAACGGTAACCAGCTTCCCGCGAACCCCCCGCCCCAAACGCTTAATTTGGAGCTGTGCAAACACCCGTGAACGCTCCCCTCCAGCCCGACCCCCGCCCGCGATACCCTGGGAACCGCGAGGTATCCCGGCGGGCAGCCCCGGCGGCCGCAGGTGTCCGCCCGGCTGAGACGCAGCTCCCGGCGGGTTCCAGCGGCTGGGAGGCCACGCCGTGTCCTCAGGACGGCTCTGCATCGAAAAGTCGCGAATCACCAACGGATTCGGGCCAGTTTTGTAGTTTCTAGCCAACCTCTCGTTCTGCCCGGTTCGCTGCGTTTCCTTGGCACTTTGGCCCAGCCAGGCCCTTTCCGCTAAATGTTATTTGCAGCTTATGTTTCGCGCATTCATTCTCTTTCAGTCAATTCGTCTGGGCGCTAACTGCTAACACCTCATAGTCACCTTGAAATTTCCTCTGCTATTTTCCAATTAAAAGCTTAATAGCCCTGGAAACGGAGTTCATGTGGTGCAGTTTACTATCGTTCCTTCGTCTGAAAAGCTTTCTGCTGGGATCCCATTATGTGCTTGAATAAACCTTTTCGTCGAGCAGAAATGGGAACCGGGGTTGTCAGGTGTTGGGTTACAATGGACTTTCAGGCAGGGGACGTTTTGCTAACATAAATACGAATCTGGCCCTACGGGGAGATGTTGTCAAATACTAAGACATGGAAACCATTCCCATCAAATATAAGAAAAGGATTACAGCACTATATCAAACGGGTATTTCAGCGTAAATGCCCGGCGTGTAGCCAAGCGAGAGAGGTGCCCCCGGCTCTCAGCCAGCCCACCGCCTCGCCGCGGCACCACGGCCGGGAGCGGGCAGCCGCCCGGCCTGCAGCGGTGACGGAGGCGCCCCGCAGGACCCTCAGTGGCTCAGTGGGGAAGGAACGTTTTCCTCTACCCCTCGCCAGCATTTGCACCTCGCTTCTTCGTTTTGAGGGAAGGGATTCGCAAGGGCGGGTGTTCATCATCTTTGACGCGCCCCTTGTAATTTTGCGATAGTTGAGTGTGTGGGTCCTCGGAGGCACCGCTTCTTTCTTCTTCTGCTCTCGGCGAGGACCCACGAGTGTGCAAGAGGCCCCGGGCGGGAGGCCACTTGCGAGCTCCAGGGATGTCCGGGTGCAGTGCAGCAAAAAAAGGTAGATCCCGCTGGCGCTGCGGGAAGTTAGGCTGTTTCCCGCATTTGCTCCGATTCACCTCCCTGCCTCGGTTCGGTAAACCGATTGGGCGCTCACCCTTCTCACATCCCGCACACATCCGTGGGGAGAAAGATTGCTCTGAATCACACTTCCCCTTAGAATTAGAAAAGTAGTAAGAAGAGACCAGTATGTAACATCACGCAAATACCTTCATAGCATACGCCGTGCCTTTTATTCTCTCCAACGAAACACTTCCCGAGTTTTATATCTAATTTCCTAATTACATAGCCTCTCTAAATGGTTTATTTCGTGTTGCCGTTACAGTTGAGAGGTGCCTGGAAGAGCAGGGGAGATCTTGAGGCAACGAAATGAGTTCGGGTCCAAGTAGCATCCTGCCAGCCCGCGGACGCTGTGCCGCAGGCAGATAAACGCTTGCAGTAAATTTATTTTTCCCCAGCCTATATACATATACCTTTTTTCCCCCCCACCAGTATATTATATTTGAATTCAAGGTTCTCGCTGCCACATGGGAAATATCCGTGTTGCAGCGAGAAATCTCTCCGCGCCCGGAAATACCGAAGACTACAAGCCCGCCGCATCAGACACATCGGAGAGGTTTCAAGCAACCTGACTTGCCCTGAATTTCGCGTTCCTTTCTATAGCCATCGTTTGCGTTTAAGCAGCTCTCTTGGCGTGGGACGCAGGAGAGGCAGGGACCCCGGAGTGCAGGTGCGCCTGCGGCCGCCCAGCTCCGCGGCGCGATCCCGCGGGGACGCGACCGCAACCTGACTCCGCTCAGATGCTCTGGACAGCTATTGGTCCCACGAAGCTCCTGCTCCGGGCAGCTCTTCGCGACCTAAAGTTTGGTAAAACTTTGATCTCGACCCACCCCGCAGCGCTGGGCCGCAGGCAGCAGCGGCCATGCACCGACCGCCGAACGCGGTGTCCCGTGGGCTTTCCATGTAGGGCCGGTACGGAGACCAGGGAAACCTCCTAGACCCCGCTCGCCCCTCAGCCCCCGGGGCTTTCGTGGGAGAGGGGTAGTTGGCATCAGCCGCACTCCCTCGGGGACAAACCCCTCCGGCACAGTACGGGCATCGCCGCCGACTCCGACGGCGCGGCAGAGAGCCCCCCCAGCTTCCCTCTCCCCCTCCCTCTCTCCCCCTCCCTTTTTCTCTCCCTCCATCCCCCCGGCGGCGGCGGGAAGGAGAGTGGCAGGGAGGAGCGGGCGAGGGGCGGGGGGCAGGCTGAGGGTCTCTGGGCTCAGCGAGGCGGCGCGGGCAGCGGCAGTGTCGCTCGGGCCGGCGGCAGCGCTCTGCCCGTCGGTGTCACCACGGCGGGCGGCGGATACCCGCCGGCCTGGGGCCGGAGCCGCGCCCCCCGCGGAGCTCGCGGGCAGAGCCGCCCGCCTCCTGTCCTCCAGAGCCCCGGCCTCCGCCCGCCCCCGCTGAGCCCTTCTCCGCCCCGGAGCCGGCCGGGCTCCTCCCGCGGGCATGAACGGCTATGGCTCCCCGTACCTCTACATGGGCGGCCCGGTGTCGCAGCCCCCGCGGGCTCCGCTGCAGCGAACGCCCAAGTGCGCCCGGTGCCGCAACCACGGTGTGCTGTCCTGGCTGAAGGGGCACAAGCGCTACTGCCGCTTCAAGGACTGCACCTGCGAGAAGTGCATCCTCATCATCGAGAGGCAGCGGGTGATGGCCGCTCAGGTGGCGCTCCGCCGGCAGCAGGCCAACGAGAGCCTGGAGAGCCTCCTCCCAGACTCCTTGCGCTCCCTCCCGGGGCCGCCGGGCAGTGCCGAGCCCCCCACGCCGCCGCCGGGGCCGCCGCCCTGCGCGGCACCGCCGCGGGCCCCCGCCGAGCTGGCCGCCGCCGCCGCCCTGCGCTGGGCCACCGAGCCGCCCCCCGCGCTCCCGGGGACGCTCCCCAAGGCAGGTGAGGCCGGGCCGGGCAGGGCGCCGCGGTACCGGGGCAGGAGGGAAAGGGAGGGCCGGGACAAACCCCGACGGGCGGCTCTCGAGGGATGGGGCCGGGACGAGGAATGGCGAGGGCTTTCCCTTCCTCCCGATGAGTGCCATGGGAAGGGAATCGAGAGGCAACCCAGCGGGTGCACTTTTTCCCTCTATAAAATGCAAGGAGCCGCACAGTGCCCGTCCAGGAGAAGGGGCCGGCGAAAGTGGCTGCTGCCAACCGGCTCCCTGACCACTTTTGATCCCGCGTGGATCACAGCCGCACGTCCTTCTGCCGCTCCTGGTCCCCTTAGCCGGCCGGAGTCGCTGCCCGGCTTCCGGGGGGTTTCCCCCGGACGTCGGGGCCGCGGGGCCTCGTCCAGGACAAAACCTCCAGAGAGATCCTCGGACCAAAAGCGGCTCCGGGAGCCGGAGGATTTCTGTGGAGCAAGGAGGACCGGAAGAAGCGGGGTGGTGGCAGGGGATGAACCGGGCAACCCAGTCGTCCCGCCCTCCGGCTCGCGTCTTGGACGGTTTGCGGCAGGTCGGGTTTGCTGGAACCACCGCCCGCAACCAGCACCTTGTGAATGCGACCTGTCGGTAACACACACTTCTGGAAGCAAAACTAACGCTCCGGAACTGCTGTCCCATTCCCCGCCCGGTGTGTGAGCGGGAGCCGACAGTCTTCCGCGACGGGGATGCCCGTCGGACAGGCCGCTGGCGGCACAGTGCTCTCCGCTGCCCCGGGAGGGAAATGGGGAACCCTGGGCTCCCACCCACGGGCTGCCGTGTGCGGTACGGAACCAGTGCGGCCACGGAGGCGTCTGTCGGGGCCCCGGCACAGGGCTTTATTCTCCAGCACTGGAGGAGACACAACACTGGCCCCGAGGCGGCGGCACTGTTTGAGTCCGTCAGTGTGGCGAGCATGCCGCTGGTTTGGTTCCCTCTTCTTCTTCTCTGGCCCTTGGCACCGCCTGCCTGCCCTCCGACCCCCCTGTCCTCTGCACCTCCGCCCGGTTCAGTCGGCCATTCACCAGGGCCGGGCTTTGGGGGTCTCTGCCCAAATTTCCGACTGGCCGTAGCCTCCCGTCGGCTCGGAGCCTTTTCCCCACCCGCATCCGCGGTGGCGCTTGGCCGGGACCTCCTTCCTGCTTAGAAGTGGGGGCGGTAAAGCCGAGGGACTGGGGAGGGAAAGGGAAAAAAGCCGCCTTGTCTTCTTCCAGAAAGTACAAGTTCCTATCCGCCAACACGATATAAATCTGACAGATAGGAACGGTATTAACTTGCACGCCCAACTTTCTATCCTCTTGATATATGAACTTCCCAGTTTAAAAGATTACAGTAATCACGGGAGGAGAGTGTAAATCGAATCTGATAGCAATAACTTTTGGGGAAGGTCAGGCTCAAGTGAAATGTTACCAAGCAACAGGCATTTTGTTTGCAAAATACAATCAAAATGTATTGATGAGAAATTCTTCCTTGCCAACCAGTCAGCACTTTCTGCTATCAGCTATACGGAGAAAAAAAACAAAAACAAAACCACAAACAAACAAACACCAAAACCAAAAAGCAAAAAAACAAACCCCCAAACATAACGGAGGAGATCTCCATAAATCAAGGCCCTCAGCGCCGCGCTTGCCACCGCCCCCTCCCGCGGTGAGGGCGGGATGAGGGCACTTTTCTGGTTACACAGATCTCATCGGCGTAGTCCCCAGTCCCCGACTGTTACAGAGGGGTTTTTTCCCCACTTTTTATGGACATGAGGAAGCGTGAGAGCAAAGCAGAAAATGATCTCAGGAGTTCCTCCTGTCACCACACAGCTTGTTTATTTCCAACTATCCTACGTGTTCTCAGCGGCAGGGCTTTCACTTACTTCTCCCCACTACCTCAATTAAAATCGTCGTCAGAACAGGGGATGTAATTATTTGTTCCCCCTGTTCATCAGCTTCTAACATACCCCCCCTTCCACCGCGAGGACGTTAATGGTGTTTTTCACTACGGAGGGGAAATTTCCCGATGTAGGGAAGAAGAATCCTATCCCTTTGCTCTTATTCTTGCCAGAAACGGTCATTTCGTTGGGACAGTTGCGAAGTTCTGTTCTGTGCAAATGATGCACATAGAAACTACCCCTGCTGCACCTGCCTCTGCTAACCTGGAATGATCCCTCCTCCTTTATACCGTGCTCATGAACTTTCCTTGCCCACGTGAGCACATTTCTCTTAGTAGTTATCCGGGGTTGTAAACAATATAATGCTATATTGGGTCGTCTCTTATCATCAGAACCAGCTTCTTAATGCAGCACAGCTGTCTCTGTGTTAGGGAAAAGTGATTAATCTCCTACAAAGTACCTTAGACCTTTGAAGATAGAGATGAAAGCCTAAAGTGAAAGTAATTTAAAAACTCCAATAACCTAAATCACTAACAAACACCCACCTTCCTCCAAACAGACAGCAAAACAAAACAAAAAAAACCAACCCAACCAACCAAAAAATCCCCCCCCCCAACAAACCAATAAAAAACCCAAAAAAAACCAACGACCTTAGCTTTTTATGTTTTTATGCTAGTTCTGGCATAGTTCTTTCTAATAATACAAATAAAGAAAACTGCAAATTCTTTTGGGATCCAGGAAAATCCATCCTAACAATCAAAGAACAAGCTGTTTTAACAGGGAGTCAGCAGCAGGAATATCGAGGAAATAAATTTGTTCTAAAGTATTAGATCAAGTTTTCCAGGCAAGTTATTGAATTGAGAACAGCTTCTTTCTCTCATCCATATTACTTTTATTTGGCGTCTTTACAAGATTTGACTCACGATCCTTAATGTATAACTAGTCAAGGAAAATTGGGATATATATTGTTCCAAATTTGTAGCAGCTTTATTTATTCATTTATATATTACTGTAAATGCACGCATGGTTCTCCCACTGTTCTGTGTTTCATGTGTATCTGTATTTGCACTGCATCTCTGTAGATCTGGGTTTGTATCTGTCTCTGCATGCATAGTATTTTATGAATACTACCCATCGTTTATATCAATAAAAAAACAGTTCCCCTAATTTTCCCAGGGATCACAAAGTGAATACTTGAATGCAGGCAATTTGAAATAGAAGTTATGTGGGGGGGAACCCAGACACACACACATGGAGAGAAAAAACTACCAAAACCATAGAAACATACAAAACTCCCTAAACAAAAACAAAAATCTCAGCAAAATCCAAAACAGCTGGCCCCAAACCCCAATCTGAACCAAACCAACGAATCACCACCACCAAAAAAACCCCACAGCAAAAAAACCTCAGACCCCACGAAGAACAAAACACAACCCCAACCCTCACTAACAAAAAATATCCGAGGACAAGTTTTCTTTCTTGAAGCCTAGAACATCCTCATGTGAAGCTTACGAGTTACGCAGGGGAAAAAAAAAAAAAAAGCTTTGGTGAAGAGCAGCGGATTGTACCTTTTAAATACAAAATTATTTTTGTACCTGAAAATACAAACATTTGCTATTAATACATGCATGCAATATTCCTACAATTCAGTGCCCACACAAGGACATTTATAATGTATCTTCCCTAAGTTTTGTTTATTTGACGGTTGCTATTTTGCGCCAATTTTAAACAACCTAAAATCGCGGTCGCGGCGGTTGCCGTGAAGGGTTGAGGACAGTCCCCGGAGCGCGCCTTTCGCCTGGCCCTCCCCGCGCCCTCAGCGTGGCGGGCAAGGAGTGCTCCCGTGGGGAAAAAGCAGTTGAAACACAGCCTTACAGACAGGGAAGGACCGGCCGGCCAGGTCGGCGGGAGCTGCCCTGCGACTGGCCCCAGGAAGGAGCCTGACGCCGGCGTCCAGAAATGCTCTCGAAAAGGGGAAAAATACAAAAGCCTCCATACTCAGCGTTAGCCAACGGAGAGTAATTCTCCATCTATTCGTAACAGCACTTCGATTTAAATAATCGAAATCTCGTTCTTCGGGTCTGTCCCTGTAAGTCTAACAGTCCTGTGAGATGCACCGCTATGATCTGTGCTGTACGAGGAGACTGTCCCTGTGCAAAGGCTAAGAATTGGGCTCTCGCGGTCTCGTGGTGATAAAGGTGCAAATTTCAATGGAATGAGTTTTCAGAATTTGAAGAAAATTTTTTAGGCAAACTTCATGAGGATATTTTTAAGGGTACTGAAAATTGAACAAATCTAAAATACCTTGAGATAATATTTTGTAAGGAACAGGAAATGTATGAGAGAGATGTATTAGAGATCTTATCTGATTTTTTTTTTTTTTTTTTTGTAAAGCACGTATTTTCTCCCTAGTTGTACTTGCTCTCATCCCACAGAGATACACTGTAAAAATGCGGTAGTTCTGAAATACACTCTATTTGCATTCTGTTAATTTTGTAATATTGTCTACTACAGTGCAAACTATTCACGTGGTAATTAGGGCTGTCATCTTCCCTAACGGCCTCTCGAACTCTGTCAAGACAGGAACTGGTAGTAGTTAGATGTCCTCAGACTGTTCTCTAAGCCTTCAATATATAAACTGTCCATTCACTAAGATGCGAATCACTCTTAGTGCCACTTCTTTTGTAACAAATGCATAATTATGAACACGTAAAGGGAGTAGGAAGGAAAGGTAGTGTGCGTCTCATATTTTCTCAAAGAATGGATGAACTATGACAGTGTCTTACCATCTCCTCAAAAGGATGCATGTTGCCAATTTGCTACTGGCATGCAATTCATGCATTCCACTTTGGCCGCTAAGGCAGGACTGACACACTGAGTGTAGGAGAGGGGATGCATACATGGCCTTCTGCGTAATGCAGCAACATGCAAAGTTACTGCTTCTCTGTTTGCACTGGACAAAGGGCACAACCAATATAAAAACAGGTAGAATCGTAGAATCATAGAATCATAGAATCAGACAGGTTGAAAAGGGCCTCTGAGATCCTCAAGTCCAACCCTTGATTCACTGCCACACAGTTACTAGACTGTGGCACTAAGTGCCACATCCAGTCTCCTCTGAAATACCTCCAGGGACAGAGAATCCACCACCTCCCTGGGCAGCCCATTCCAATGCCTGATTAAAACTAAAAACAGGTACCAAAACCAGTTAATCCTGCTAAAAGAGATCTTCATTAGGGCAACTGTATTCCTCAGCTGCATGCTTTTCTTCCACAGCCCAAACTACCAGCATCCAACAGCTTTGTAGGACGAACCATCATTTCTGCCGGGTACCACAATGCTCACGAGGAGAACTTTTTGGCATGCTCACACTGTTAGGCTGTGCTTTGCTAGGATCTCATACTTATTTATAGCTCCCATTCTGTAAGCATAGCGGCTTCTGACTCAGTGTGGGCTTGCTCAGACCTTGACTTCTTTCTCTCTCAATATGGGAAATTGCATTAATAGACTTTGTCTCAAGCTGATCTGTGAAATACTAAACTTATTCCACTCCATGGGGAGATGTTAATGGGCCTGTTAATGGGGCGAGAGAGAGACAGGAGGTGGTGAGCAGTGAGGCTCAGGTGCTTGCATACTGGTTCCATCTCACTTGGGCAGGGGTGTTCATTAGCACATTTTAGGAACCTTTGCTTGCTTCTTACACCTTCTTTATCTAGTTGGGCTGTTAACCAGGGACTTGGGAAACCAAGAAAGTGGTTTCACTGGGGGTCTTTTTGGAGACAGTTTTTCATGTGTATTCAGAATTACTGCCCTGTGCAGTTAAAGGAGGCTCTGTCAGCTGCACTTGGAGAATAGTCCTTTCCCCATGCATTGATGCTTCTCAAGGATACCATCACTGTGCTCCACAAGGAAGGCCAGCAGAACTGTGTTCTTGAGAAATAACTGTGAACAATCTCAAGCAATTCTATGCACTCCCTTGTGCATAGGCTGTGAAAGCACTGTCAACCTTTCTTCCTTTCTTCCTGCTGACAACAATTCCATATGCAAGGTCAGGCATTACCAAAGTGACCAGAAATCTGGGGTGTTCTCATTTCTGAGTGTCCACCTGGAGACAGCATGGTCAATGGGCTTGTTTTCAGCCCTGTACTCAGCTCTCATCCTTCTTAGTTTAGCACACAAAAAGCAAGATACCAGGAACAAGCACTAAGAGAGTTTGTGGGGTCTCTCTAGTTGGAATTATTTAAAACTCTTCTAAGCAGGGACATGAGCAACCTGCTCTATGTATTAGGTTGCTTTTGCTTTGAACAGGATATTGGACTAAACACCTTCCAGAGGACTTTCTCACACTGGATTTTTCTAGAATCTGTGCTGTGTGAAGAACCAGTTTCTGCAGAGCCAGAACTTGAATACACTGATTTATTTGCAAACTTTTTATACCTTCAACCAGTAGTCACGATGAAGTGGTTCCACCAATGCTGTTGGACTTGTAGAGGGAATTTTGGTCTCCCTAAGTGCCCTCTTCAGTTCACAGACAGTGGGATGGTGCTAGTGATGAATTATGATGTGAAAGTGCTTAAGTTCCTCTGAGAAAGCTTGCGCTTGGCTGGTGTGTTGCTGCCTTGTAATCAGTGAGAGAGGACTGATACAGCGTATTTGATGCAGCAGGAAAATGACTACAGCTTCTTTCCTTGCACATGGGAAAATGTGACAGATATCTATAAGGCCTAGACCAGGAAACATTATTTTTTTTGCAGTTTTATCCTCATGAGATGTTGCAAAGATACTTTAATTTTTACAGCATCTCAGTGAAAAATGCACTTCCTCCCCACCATTCTGCTTTGTTCGCTTTAAGAAGACACCTCATATTTCTGTAAAAGCTTTTGGCTTCAGTTTTTTATTAACTTCTCTGAATTCTCTTTGCAGACACGAACGAGGAGAGGTTGGGTGATGCCAGTGGAGCAGACAACGCTGAGACCTACAGCGACAAAGATACAGACCAAAGGAGTTCCCCAGACATGACTAAAGCCAAAACCTGTTTCACCCCTGAAAGCCCTGAAATTGTTTCAGTGGATGAGGTTGGTTATGCAGTTCAGAAAAATGGTGGGAGCACAGAGAATCATCCAGACAGCCCCAAGTACCACCCAGAGCAGAACCACCTTCTGATAGAAGGTCCTTCTGGGACAGTTTCTCTACCATTCAGTTTGAAAGCAAACAGACCTCCGCTTGAAGTCTTGAAAAAGATCTTCCCTAATCAAAAGCCAACTGTGCTAGAGTTGATCCTGAAGGGGTGTGGTGGTGATCTGGTGAGTGCTGTGGAGGTTCTCCTGTCTAGTCGGTCTTCAGCGGCAAGTGGGGAGAGAACTTCTGCAGAATCTGATGGTCTTGTTTTGCCTTCCAACGGGCACATTTTTGAACACACGCTGAGTTCCTACCCTATTTCATCCTCCAAGTGGTCTGTGGGCTCTGCATTTAGGGTTCCTGACACACTGAGATTCTCTGCTGATTCCAGTAATGTCATGCCAAATCCTCTGGCTGTACCTCTGCAGCACCCTTTCCCTCAACCACCACGCTACCCACTGATGTTGAGGAACACTTTGGCAAGAAATCAGTCCAGCCCGTTCCTGCCCAATGATGTCACCCTGTGGAACACCATGACACTGCAGCAGCAGTACCAGCTGCGGTCCCAGTACGTCAGTCCTTTCTCTAGCAACACAGCCACAGTTTTCCGAAGCTCACCTGTACTTCCTTCGCGCTCGTCAGAGGATCCTAGGATCTCAATTCCCGATGATGGGTGTCCTATTGTGTCTAAGCAACCAATTTACACAGAAGATGAATATGAGGAAAGGTCTGATTCTTCAGACTCAAGAATTCTCAACACTTCCTCTTAGACTGACATTTGATGTGTGATAGCTAAGTGGTACTCATAGTGCAGCTGAACTACTAGCCCCTAAGAGGAGGGACACATATTCTATAAAACTCTTGCAATTGTATTAAAAAGTGACTTTGCTTGGTATTGTACTATAGCAATAAAGACATAACTTTTTTTAATTTCTTGCACTTCACTGGATAATGCCAAATAGCAATACTCTGGCTTTAGTGCTGAGTGTGTGTTGCAAAGGAAGACTTTATGGCTCTCGGTTATGGGACTCTGGAAGGCTCATAACGGAAACAGAAGCCCAAGGTCTACTTTGTTCCTTAACTCAGAAAAATGGGGATGTTAAACTAGAATACTTGAATGCTGTTTTATAAGAGAGAACTCCTCAGGACATAAGAAATCAAATAAACATAATTCAATTGCAAATGGACTAAAACAAGGAACTTATAATCTTATGTCAGTGATCGTTCTTGCAGTGAAAGAAAAGGGAGAAGAAAGAAATATGCACATGCAACTAACATGAGCTGCTTCTGTGCCGTTTGAGCTTGGACACTTTTCAGAGAAATATTATTAAGAGTTATTCTTTTCCCATGGCTAGGTCGAAATGTGTAATGTCAGTGTAAAACCAATTACAGCTGTGAATTGCATGAAGTGTATTGTGAAATGAACACCAGATTAAGCATTGTCAGGTTAATGTAGCATGCTAAGGACTCCAGAAAAATAAACTAAGATGATGATCTTGGTTTATGTCATTTATACTGGGCAAATACATTCTGAAGACAGAGAGCTGATTAGTCCTCAACCAGGGTTAAAATGTCCAGCTCCAGCAACTGCAGTCACAGGAAGCCTCTTTTTCCAAGTCCAGGTTCTGCTTCCCTGCCTAGTAGCTTGCAACTGAGATTAAACAAATATTGTTGTCAGGGAAGCTGAGGTCTTTAGTATGTACTGCAGACACTTCCAAGCTCAGCTGAGTAAAGTAGAGCTTTCTACAGTCACAAAAAGCAGAAAACAAAAGGCTCTCTCAGTGCTTCAGAAGCATCTATTTTTTTCCTATACTGTAGAATTAGAAAAAAAGGAAATAGAATGTAATAGCAGGCCTGTCTTTAAAATAATATTTAGCCAAATGGCAGCTTCCCTAAATGTAGAAAAGTATTGGTTTGAACAATTTATTGCATGATTGCATGCATTGATTACACTGCATATCTTATGTGTGTCTGAGTAACATTAGGAATTGCTTCTGATGAGGAATGCCACTAAGTCAACTGTTCACTTAGAAGTTTGTTAAGGTTCTAGTGCCATTTTTTCAGCTGCTCACAACTGAGAACATATGCTTGACAAGTGACTTGTACAAAACACAGCTCTGAATGCAGATGAAACCACTGTCAGGCCTTTCAGGTGTACGGATTAGTCCCACACTTCAAAAAAGTGTTGAGGCTGCCCTGAAGCTGGACCCTAAAGCAGATGCGCTTTAAAACTGTTATATACACATCTCAGGCACGTTATCCAGTGTCATTGTTGATGTGAATGCCTGTGTTCTCGTTTGGCATTTCTTGTTTTGCAAGTCTTGTGCACACAGTGAATCTTTCATTTTATCAAGGTACTGAACACGCACAAAAAGGAGAATAAAATAATGATTTTATTTTCCTTAGGGGATAAATTAACAGAAAGATACTTTTTCTTGCATAACTTTCTGAGCTATTCAGTAAAGCATTTTATTGGTAATGCTACAGAGCAAACACATAAAAGCAGAGGAAGGAAGGAAAGAAAATAAATAGATTCTTTTATGGAAGTGTAAATGTGAAAGCATCTGAAATTTTCCTAAATGCAGAATTTCAATTGTGTACTGACAGATTTGCCTGCATTCACGTGGCACTTGTAACCAAATTCATCTTACAGCCACTCCAGAGAGAAAAGTAATAAGTAAAATATGTTTGATCTTGCAAACAGAAAGGCATGAGGTAGTGAAATGCTGTGCTACAACACCACGGAGAAATTAAGTGTCAAAGGCTATATAGGAGCAGTTAGGTCCAGGAGCTCTGATTTTGAGCAGATTTCCTTCCTGCAGAAAGCTTTGTATAGGCACCCCTGTATATTAAATGAAATCTGCATGGGTTTTGGTTTGAATTTTTTTGTGGTTGGTTTGTTTGTTTTGCCACAGAGATTGAATCATCTTCAGCAGAAAGACTGAACAGTGGGACCTGCAACAGCTCATAAACACTGTGCCCTGCAGATTTTCAGAGAACAGAATTTTGGCGTCTTGAAATTGTGATACATCTTTCAAAGAAAGGTCACCATGGCTAAAACAGAGTGAACTATTATCACACTTACGGTGAAAAATGCAGATTCGGTGGTATGATTTTTTTTAATTTTATCTCTTTTGACAAGTTGTGTTCTGAAAAAGAAAACAAGTGGAAATGATCCTCTTCTGGTATTATAAAATAACTTGACTCAACTCACAGTTACTTTTTTTTTTTTTTTTTTGAAATAAAGGAAATGTATCTCTGTTCAAAATAAGAAATGCAAGTTCTGGTGTTGAACAATAATTTTTGTTTAGCCATGCAATAAAATGTTGCTAAAATAGCTAAAATGCTACCCAGACAATTAATTTTTTAAAAAAATGGTATTTTGGAGATGTTACCTTGCTCCCCTGGCTATATTTTCCAAGCTAGCACTACAGGCAAACGTGGTTTTTAAGGATCCTTTGGTGTGTTGGCAGGAACTTTTTCTGCCCACAGCATGCTGGGACCTGTTCCATAGACCTCTGCTGTGGTGGTGGGGGCTGCCCACCCGCTCCCACCCTCTCGGGGCAGACAGTCGCGGGGCGAGGGAACCCCTTTTTCGCTGGAGCCCTGTGTGTCCCATCGTCAGGGCGCACAGTGGCCGCCCCAGCACTGGCAGGCTGGTGCAGGGGTCGGTGGCAGCCGTGTCACCGCAGCCGGCTGCGGCGGGGCTGGTCCTGAGCCTGCGGAGCACCGTCGGGGCTACAGCATCCCCACATTTCCACCCCTCCGGGCCCGGGGGAACGCCTTCGCGGGGGGCACCCACAGCGTGCGCTTCCCAGCTCCATCTTGTGGTGAACGAGGGCAACCTCGTGACGTGAGGAGGAAGGGAGGACATGGGGGTGAGGAGGGCTGAAGCTCAAGGCGTGGATGCTCAGAAGCCTCAAAGAAAGAAAAGAAGAATTCAAGTATCAAGAAAGATGGCTTGAGCCTGGTGAGGTCTCTGCTGGAGCTCAGGATCCAAAGAGGTGTTGGGATATTTTCTTTTTTTTTCCTTGGGTCTTCTTTTTGGGTGTTAAAGTAACTGTGTCTTTCTCGGAGCAAGAGATCTTCAGCCTCTGCACAGCTCCTGCTCCTGGCTGAGCAGCCACCAGGGAGCCTCTCTGGGGTACCCTGGTACTGCTTTTTCTCCTGTCAGATGGGTGATTCCATTGTCTACTCTCTGGGCAATGCTCTGAGCTTGCTCTCTCTGGCTCTGCTTGTCCAGGCCCCAGGCCCACCAGAGACCTGTGCAGTGGGCTCTACAGAGGCTGGTTGCTACTGCAGAGGCACACTGCTAAAACCCCCTAGTTAACCTCTGGCTGTGACAATGTGGTTAAGGCCAACAGTGATGTAAACAATAACAATAACAATGCCACGGAGAGCCCTAATGCAATGTCCACCTTCTCTGATAGCTCACGTACCTGTAGACATAGGGAATAGTCAGAAGGGGAGCAAGGGTAAGAAATAGGGATGTCCTGCCCAAAACTATCCCCTGCCTTGCCCTTGCTGGTGGTGGTGATGCTTCCCCAGGGGTCCTTGACTTGCCCTCCTTATTGGTCTGAAGGGCCACCTCTGCAACATTTGTTGTATACTTGGTGAACAGGCTCACCTCACATTTGTGCTGACATCTTTGAAAAATGACTTTGATTCTCTCAGTATACTGTTTCAGTGATTCATTCTTTATGTGCATTTACTCAGCGGATGTGAGTGGGGAAATAAGATTGATGCTAAATTTATATGTTAATTTTAATATTGAAGCTATCCTGTATTTGAAGAATAAGATCAATTCTTCAATTTCATTTCTTACGTGATATTGCATATTGTCATTACTGGAAAATAAAATTATTTCTGAATGCATACTATCTAAACTTCAATTTTAGTGGACATATAACTCTGAAGCATCATTCTTCTCCCTTTCCTTTAATAAATATCTTAATACAGTATTTTAACATTCTCACACTAGTCACACGGGAAGATAACAAAGACAAGTCTTTTCACCCTAAATGGTGTTTCGTTAACATGCTCCCTGCAGCATTCTGCACTGTCACAGGCAGATTTCATGCATGACTCAGCAACTCCCTGCAGGCTGTTGCATGCCTGCTGCAACAGGAATCTTGGTTAATAATTGTATCCCTCACTAGAGATTAATTTCAATAATTTCCACAATAGCAGCTGTGCTTGGGAGCCACAGCCACAGCTAGTTGCCAAGCATGCCTGCATGCAGGCCGAATCCTGACCTTAAGTGAGGGATCACACCCTCAGATTGCTATCAGTAACCAGATCATGCAGAGGATGGAATCATATGTACAGGAAGATTTGGCATTTATGGAGTGAGATGTACTTTAAGGAGGTCTGCTGCCAGAGACCAGGCTTTCCTGAAGCTGCAACAGAAAAAACAGTATTTACGGCACCTTGGGATTGTACTTTATGTCTTTGCAAGATGTGCAGGAGATCAAACTGAGATAGATAACAGGAACCTTTGCAAGATTACATCCTTGCTCTGCCCTCTAACCCAAGGAAGATTTTTCCCTGTTCTTAAGGGATAAAGGTAAGTGCTACAAGGATTTAATTGTTTTTATCTGAAAATTCTTAAAAAGCTTAAGTGCCCTGTAAATAGGAGAGAAGAACATAGTATTTACCAGAGTAGTAGATTTTGTTTCTAATTTTTTCTCTCCTAGAGAGAGGCTATAGCTTTTCAATGGCTGAACTGTGACTTCCTTCAGGAAGAGAGTTCCCCTGAAAATCTCAGGTT